CTGGGACACCGCAACTGTCATAAGTACATGTCAGTTGCCAAGTGTCTGAATTTTGATCACATGACCACGGGGATGCTACAAAGGCCGTCAGTGTGAAAAACGGTCCTAAGTCTCTTTTTTCAGTGCCGTTGTAACATTAAACGGTCACTAAATGAATTGCTGTCAGTTGAGGATGACCTGTAGAAGTTTAAAAAAAAAACAGAGCAGAACAAGGCAACGGTGACTCAACTTCTAAATTGTTTCTGAGAAACTGCGTGGACATATCCCCAGAGTCAGCAAGAGAAGTTTAGCTTTATAAAGTCCTTATCTTACGCAACTTTGGACGCCGACAGCAATGAAAGAAAAAACGCTACAACTACTCAGTTCCTTCCTTTTCCTAGAAAATCGGACTAATATACGGTCACCCCTTTGCAGGGAACTTCAGAAATTTGCTGGGCAGTAGAAATGAAAGCTCAACAGGAGAAATGTGACGTGGCTGACTCTGGAAAGGCTCCAGGTCTGAGAGATTTTTAAAAATATGTTTTTTTAATTTTAATCACAGGACAACAAAGTTGAGAAGGACCTTGGACATCTTCTCCTCAGGCAGGAAACTCAGACAAATGGCTGTCCAATCCCTTCTTGAAAACTTCCAGTGTTGGAGCATTCATCGCTTCTGGAGGCAGGTTGTTCCGCTGGTTAATTGTTCTAAGTGTCAGGAAGTTTCTCCTTAGTTCTAGGTTGCTTCTCTCCTGGATTAGTTTCCATCCGTTGCTTCTTGTCCTGCCTTCGGGTGCTTTGGAGAATAGCTTGACCCCCTCTTCTTTGTGGCGACCCCTTAGATTAAATGGGAATATTGTTCACACAATTCAAAACTGGTTCCTTCGGGTAAGAATTATCACTCAATCAAAATAGAGCTGGAAGGGGCCTTGGAGGTCTTCTAGTCCAACCCCCTGCTCAAGTAGAAGACCCTACACCATTTCGAACAAATGGCTGTCCAGTCTCTTCTTAAAAACTTCCAGTGTTGGAGCATTCACCGCTTCTGGAGGCAGGTTGTTCCACTGGTTAATTGTTCTGACTGTCAGGAAGTTTCTCCTTAGTTCTAGGTTGCTTCTCTCCTTGACTAGTTTCCATCCGTTGCTTCTTGTCCTACCTTCGGGTGCTTTGGAGAATAGCTTGACCCCCTCTTCTTTGGGGCAGCCCCTGAGATATTGGAACACTTCCATCATGTCACTATAATCCTTCTTTTCATTAGACATTCCCGATTTCTGCAACTGTCCTTCATGTTTTAGCCTCCAGTCCCTTAGAGGTCCTTGTTTCTTGTTTTTATAAGCCAGAACAAATACCTTTAAAAGGTTTTGGCAAAACACAGGTATGACTTCCCACGTAATCTAATGAAGTGTTAGCTACACTGGTTAGAAATTTAGGGAGCTACCAAAAGGGTGCCAACATGGACAAGGTGCAATGTGCATTTTTCCTATACTGATAAATAGCACAACATAATCCATCTTTTTTTAGGTAGCAATTTGATAGGGGGAAAAAAAACAAGAACGCGATGGTCCTTCTCCCCCTGCTGGTTACTAATAATTCTGAACATTAACTGCCCTGCCCTCTGTGAACAGTTCTGTTATCAAAATACAAAGGCTCTAATTAATAAGTAACTGCAATCTAATCAGTATTTTTAGCACCATAAACTCCATTGCATTGGTAAGAACGATTTGCTATTTTTCTGCTCCTTTTTAGATAAAAAGTGTTGGCATAGCTGTTATATCAACAGGGAGATATCATTTCAAGCCATTTACCCAACCTGTGATGCTTGATACTCAAAGCAGGAAAGTTTTCGATAATAATTGGCTGACCCAGTAATGCTGGCAGAAATCATAATTTTCTTAGGGAACACAGCCAGCTTACTGTAGTGTAAGGTGTAGGGTCTAGAATCCAGGAGACAGTAAGTTCTAGTTCCACCTTAGGAACAAAAGCCAGTTATAAATGGATTAGGCGGGGATTGTTGCAATTTGGAAAATTTGTACTTTTGATGTAGGAACTGAAAAAAAGAAGTATATCATTAAATACTAGTGCACCGTGGGAAACAGCTGAAAAAAAAACTAAATCCATGTTGAATTGGGAACTGAGATTCTTTGAATGAACACCAGAGGAGACTAAAGGACTAGAAAGAAT